CTTTCTAATGCTGAGCCAACATTGCATCCTTGGAATCAGTTCTACCTGGTCATAGTGTATAATTCTTTTTATTTATCATTGAATTCTGTTGGGTTATATTTTGATAAAGAATTTTATGTCTATATTTATGAGTAATACTGTTCTGTGGTTTTGTTTATGTACTATCTTTGTCAGGTTTTGTCATCAAGATAATTTTCCTACATTTATTGATGTGAAAAAATTATATAATTTTCTCATTTATTCTGTTAAAATAAAATGATTTTAAAATTGATTGATTTTTAAAATCTCAAACCAACTTTGCATTCCAGGAGTAAATACCTAAATCATCGTGATGTATATAGACTTTTACAATTTATTGCTGGTTTTATTTGTTAACATCTTGTGGAGGGTTTGAGGTCTATATTTGTGCAGGATGTTTATTTTTTCTTCCTGTAATTCCTTTGTGGAGAGGCTCTCCCATTAGGGTTGTGCTGGCCTTGTTGAACAGGTTTGGAAGTATTTCATTCTCCTGTATTTTCTGAAAGTTTATTTTCTTCCCTCTTTTTAACATTTAATAAACAACCACAAAAATTTAACTTTGTTTTTTTTTTTTTTTTGGAGACAGAGTCTCACACTTGTCCTGGCTAGAGTGCCGTGGCGTTAGCCTAGCTTACAGCAACCTCAAACTCCTGAGCTCAAGCAATCCTTCTGCCTCAGCCTCCTAAGTAGTTGGTACTACAGGCATGTGCCACCATGCCCGGCTGATTTTTTTCCATATATTTTTAGTTGGCCAATTAATTTCTTTCTATTTTTAGTAGAGACAGGGTCTCACTCTTGCTCAGGCTGGTCTTGAACTCCTGAGCTCAAATGATCTACCCACCTTGGCCTCCCAGAGTGCTAGGATTATAGGCGTGAGCCACCATGCCTGGCCTAACATTATTAAATATAACATTTGGGGGGAAGATAATGCTTGCTAGCAGTCTACATTGATATAATTAAAAAAAACCAAACAGGCTAGGTGCGGTGGCTCATGTCTATAATCCTAGCACTTTGGGAGGCCAAGATGGGAGGATTGCTTGAGGACAGAAGTGCAAGATCAGCATGAGCAACATGAGACACGGTTTCTACAAAAATAGGAAAAAAATCATCCAGGCGCGGTGGTGGCTGCCTATAGTTCCAGCTACTTGGGAGAAGGATGAGGCAGGAGGATCAATTGAGCCTAGGAGTTTGAGGTTGCTGTGAGCTAGACTGACACCATGACACTCTAGCCAGGGCAACAGAGTGAGACTCTGTCTCAAAAAAGTAAAGAAAAGAAATAGCCATGTTCTTCTTAAAATTAACTTACGTGAAATGAAATTCCTATTCATATTCCGTCTTATTCTTAATATATGTCTGATTATTTTTGTTTGGGCTAATCTACATCAAGATTTTAGCTGCCCCTTCCTCAAGGATGAGTACTGAATCCTTTTAATCTGCTTGGGTAAGGCCTCTATCCCTATGAAAATTGAGAAATGTTTTTTGGTTGTACTTGAAGCATTATTAAAGTATTTGGGTGAAAACAAAATCTAATAAGTTATCAATTATAATCCACATAATAAATTATAACCTACATAGTATGTGTGTTGACTGTTCCCAGCCTTCTTTGCCCCATGTCTTTATGGGGGACCAAGAACAGGAAGTAGAAGTGACGAAATCGTTGAGTATGTCAAGGAATCAAAGCCAAGAGAATTTTCAAGAATAGAGTGCAAGAAACATCCAGCCATGATTCAAGGATAGAAGTTAAGTTTAAATACAAAAAGGACCTTGCCTCACAGATCAAGTGTCAAATTGGCTGTCAGCATCTACACGATTCCAGCCTGGATATAGTGGATACTCTTTTCTAAAAGTTTTTATAAAATTGTCATTATTTCTGCCTAAAATGTTTTATAAAATTAATTAGTAAAGCCATCTGGGCCTGAAGTTTTCTTTGTTGGAAGGTGTTAAGCTATGTGATCAACATGTTTTTCTTCTAAATAGGCCTTGTTTCCTAGAGCAGTTTTACATTCAGGTTAAAATTGAGGCTGGGTGTGGTGGTTCACTTCTGTAATCCTAGCACTCTGGGAGGCCAAGGTGGGAGGATTGCTTGAGCCCAGGAATCCAAGACCAGCCTGAGCAAGAGCAAGACCCCATCTGTACTAAAAATAGAAAAATTAACCGGGTGTCATGGTGCATGCCTATATTCCCAGCTACTCAGGAGGCTGAGGCAGGAGGATCACTTGAGCCCAGGAGTTCGAGGCTGCAGTGAGCTACGATAATGCCACTGCACTCTACCCGGGTGACAAAGCAAGACTCTGTCTCAAAAAAAAAAAAAAGAAAAGAAAAGAAAATTGAACAGAAAGTACAGAAAATTTCTATATATCTCCCCCCACAGCCCCTTAAAATACGTGTTTCTACAGGGCTCCTCCATTCTTAACATCCCACACCAGACTGGTACGTTGTTATAAGTGATGAACCTATGTTGACACGTCATATCACCCAGAGTCCATAGTTTACATCAGGGTTCACTCTTGGTATTTGTACATTCTGTAGGTTTTGAAGTGACATGTATACACCATTGTATTAATAGTATCGTACAGAATAGTTTCACTGCCCTGAAATCCTGTGTTTTTCCTGTTCATCCGTCCCTTCCCCCAACCGCTGACTCCTTTTACCGTCTTCATAGTTTTACCTTTTCCAGAATGTCATATAGTTGGAATCATACAGTATCAAACCTTTTCAGATTGGTTTGTTTCACTTAGTAATTATACATTTAACGTTTCTCCATGTCTTTTCATGGCTTGATAGCTCTTTTCAGGGCTGAATAGCATTCCATTGTCTAGATGTAGCACAATTTATCCATCCACCTACTGAAGGACATCTCAGTTGCTTCGAAGTTTTGGCAGTCATGAATAAGCTGCTATAAACATTTGTATGCAGATTTTTGTGTAGACTTAAGTTTTCAGTTTATTTGGGAGAATATCAAAGAGTGTGATTGCTGGATCATGTAGTATGTTTAGTTTTGTAAGAAACTGCCAAACTGTCTTTCAGAGTAGCTGGGCCATTTTGCATTTCCACCAGCAGTGAATGGGGGGTTCCTGTTGTTCTGTGTCCTTTGGTCGTGTCAGTGTTTTGGATTTTGGCCATTCTAATAGGTGTGTAATTGCATCTCATTGTTTTAATTTGCATTTCCCTAATGAGATATGATGTGGAGCATCTTTTCAAATGCTTCCTTTCTGCATGGTGAAGTGTCTGTTGCCCATTTTTTAAGCAGGTTATTTTCTTATTGATGAGTTTTAAGACTTCTTGGTATATTTTGGATAACAGTCATTAATCAGATATGTCTTTAGCAAATATTTCCTTTTGATCTGTGGCTTGTCTCATGTTGACAAATTCAGTTTTTAAAATAGATATAAAGCTATTCAGATTTTCTATTTCTTGTATGAGTTTTGTAAATTTTGTCTTTCAAGGAATTTCCTCATTTTACCTAAGTTGTCAAATTTACTGGCATAAAATTATCTTTTTAGATTGGGTGCGGTGGCTCACGCCTATAATCCTAGCACTCTGAGAGGCCGAGGTGGGTGAATCGTCCAAGGTCAGGAGTTCAAAACCAGCCTGAGCAAGAGCGAGACCCCATCTCTACTAAAAAAAATAGAAATAAATTAATTGGTCAACTAAAAATATATAGAAAAAATTAGTCGGGCGTGGTGGCACATGCCTATAGTCCCTGCTACTCGGGAGGCTGAGGGAGGAGGAGTTTGAGGTTGCTGTGAGCTAGGCTGACAACACGGCACTCTAGCCCAGGCAACAAAGTGAGACTCTGTCTCAAAAAAAAAAAAAAAAAAATTATCTTTTTAATGTCTGTGATGTTTACTTGTTCATTCTTGATATTGGTAATATGTGTTTCATCTTTTTTTTAATATTATTCTTATTCATGGACAAGGTTCTGGGGCCCCAAGAGAGGGGAGCCCCAGAAGTCACCCTATCTTTTTTTTCTTGATCAGTCTAGTGAGGGGTTTATCAACTTTGTTAATATTTTCAAAGCTAATTTTTGTTGTATTTTTCTTGTTTATTTTATTGATTTCTGCTTGATTTCGTTTCTGTTAACTTCAGATTAATTTGCTCCTTTTTTTCCCTACTAATTCTTAAGATGGAAGCTTCGAGTATTGGTTTTAAACCTTTCTTTTCTAATATGAACTTTTAAACCTATAAATTTCCCCTTTGCATACTGTATTAAGCCTATGCTACTACAAATATTGATATGTTGTGTTTTCATGTTGTCATTGAGTTTGAACTATTTTCCAACTTCCCTTCTGATTTCTTCTTTTACTGATAAGTTATTTGGGAATGTCTTGCTTAATTTCCAAATATCTAAGAATATTATAAATATCTAATATCAATTTCAAATTTAATTCTATTTTGGGCAGAGAATTGACTCTGTGATTTTAGTCCTTTGAAATTTATTCATACTTCTTTAAGACCAAGTATATGTTGGTGAACATTCCATGTGGACTTGAATGTATATTCTGTAGTTGTTAGATGTGGTGTTCTGTGGTGCCTTCAGTTGGCTTTGTTAAAAAAAAATTGTCCAGAATTTATCATTATCATCAGCAAAAGAGTCTGGTATGAGCTACTCTGGTATTACCAGTATTTTTTGGTAATATATATTATTTCTTACCAATATATACTCTATGAAAGCATTTTGATGGCAGATTTATTAACATACAATATAAATGAGTTATAGTTTGTGTGATTTGATGTCTGGTAAATATTATCTTTATCCAGTGCATGTGTTTTAAAACAATTACCAAATCTTTATATGTATTAATAAAGTTGTTTATTCATTAGTATTCAAACTCTTACTGAAAAAGTTTTAGTTTGACTTCTTTTTGTAGTTTAGTACCTCAGGTAAAGATGTAGCAGAATATGTCTTGTTAACCAACACTTGGTACAGAGCATGACATAATATTTGCTGAATTTAATTAAAGATTTGTCCATTCCTCAAGGTACCTATCTTCACGGTGGTCTCACTTCTGAAATATGGCTACAGATTGGCTCGGCAGTATTGTGTCCATCAACTGTGGAGAAAGCTTGGGTGTCTATCAGGGAAGAGTGTCAGCAGTAGATCAGGTCAGCCAGACCATTTCTCTCACCCGGCCTTTCCACAATGGAGTGAAGTGTCTTGTTCCAGAAGTCACCTTCAGGTGAGTGTCCTGACTCATTCTTCCAAATCCATCCTGGTGGTCTGTGGAGCTTGATTGGAGGTCTGATTGCCAGTATTCTCTTTCATCGGGCTGCTTTTGAGTAGAGTCTTGCCAGGTGTGAGGTTTTGCAGTCTTGGGCCTTAACTGTCCAGCTACTGTTCTCAGCAGAGACTTTGTGTTGTAATTAGCTTTCAGCCAGAGATTAAGATCTGGGAAACTTTTTTCTTATCTCTGTCTTGCATGCAATATTATATTATTTAAGTAGGTCAAATCAGAATAACCTTTGTTTAGTGGTTTTAGATTTTCTTCCTCAGTTTTATTTGTGCTTTCTCACATCTAAGTTCCTTATTAATTTTTTCCCCTGCATAAATATGTCTCTCTTTGTAGATTTGTATTATGATTTATCCCCAGAAACACATTGTAGCCAGTAGCTAAAGTCCTTAGTTATAGGAAAGTTTTTTTCTTAGTATTTGCCAACAGATCTCAAGTTCACTTGTGTCTGCATACCGCTCTTTTCATGAGATTGGCAGATAGCCTTCCATTCTTAGCTACCAAAAAAAAAAAAAAAAAAAGGCTGTCAAGTAAGAGCTTCCTTGATTTTTGGAGCAATTCAGTTCTTATACATACCCACACAGGACCTTTTTTGTGGGTATACCCATTCATTCTTACTGCTTACCTACTCTACAGTCTCAAGAAAAGAAGTATCATCATTTGAGCTCAGGAGCTCGAGACCTCGTCTCTACCAAAAATAGAAAAAATTAGCTGGGCATGGTGGCGCGTGCCTGTAGTCCTAGCAACCCAGGAGGCTGAGGCAAGAGGATCACTTGAGCCCAGTAGTTTGAGGTTGCTGTGAGCTAGACTGACACCATGGCACTATAGCCCAGGCAACAGAGTGAGACTCTGTCTCAAAAAAAAAAAAAAAAGAAAAAGAAAAGAAGGATCTCTTGTGTTCAAGACTAACCTTATGGCGTAGGCTTTAGGTGTTATCCTTTTGTACTTCCTTTCAGACCTTACTTCATCTCTTTTGTGTTTGCAGTTTCAATCTTTATACTGCTTTTCTCTTTGCATTTTAACATTCCCAGGCCTCCCACATGTTAAAAATAACCCTCTCCACTCGACCTTGCATTTGCCACTAAGTATTGCCCTTTCGTTTCTCTTCCCTTTACACCTACAGTGCTTTTCAGAACAAAATAGTCTGCCTTCACTCCCTTTTGTAGCTTCATTCTCTAGTCCCTTTTTACCCCACCATTATCTTTTTTATCTTTTTCTAACTTTATCATCTTGCTGAATTAGCTCTTATCAGGGTTACAGATGACCTTGTTCCCAAATTCAATGTCAGTGTCTCAATTCTAATCTTACTTGAATGCTTCCTGACTCTTAAAGTACTCTCTTCTCTTAGTACTCTTAGTTTCTCTGTTACCTCTTTGGGTTTTCTTTGCATATATTCCACATATTTCTCCATTCTTTTTTTTTTTTTTTTCCTACTCACCTGTTAAGATTGAATTAGGGTTCTTAGTTTGTATTCTCTAGACAATCTCATATGTACCATCTTACACATTAATGATACCTAAAATTTTTATCTTTAATTTAGACCCATTGTCTGAGCTCCAGTCATTTTAGTTATCTACTGGTCATTTCCAGTTGGATACCCCACAGGTTATCTTTTTTTTTTTTTTTTTTAAGACACAGGATCTCACTCTGTTTCCCAGGCTCGAATACAAGAGTTTGATTATAACTCACTGTAGCCTCAAGTACCTGGGCTCAAGGGATCCTCCCACCTCAGCCTCCTGTGCCTATGGGCATGTGCCACCATGCCTGGCTAATTAAAAAAATTTTTTTTGTGGAGACAAGAGTCTTGCTATGTTGCCCAGGTTGGTCTTCAGTGCTTAGCCTCAAGTGATCCTCCTGCCATGGCCTCCCAAAGTGCTGGGATTACAGGTGTGAGCCACTGCACCCAGCTGCCCACAAGATATCTTAAATTCAAAATTTTTGGAGCTGATCTTATTATGTGTATCTGCAGATTTCTTTCTGCAAAGGTCTACCAATTATTGATGACTAATACACCTTTCCCCCTAAATTAGAAACTTAGGAATCATAATAAACTCTTCTTTTTCTTTAATCCTCCTATTCAGTTAGTCACCAAATCCTATGGATTCTAAATATCTTTTGGTCCATTCTCCCTTCTTCCTTTTTGTTGTTACTTGCCCAGTCAGCCCCTCTTATTTCTTGCTTGGTCTCTTAACTGGTAACCCTGCCTCTGGTTTCTCCACTTTTCTTACAGCCACCAGAAAAATCCATTGTGCTCACGATCTGGCTCCTAGTTACCTCTGTAGCCTTACTTTCTTTTTTTGTTATTTTTTAAAATTTTAATGTCTACATGCAGACAGGCTGAGGCCAAGATAGCATCATCTGCAGTCTTACTTTCTGATGGCCCTCCACAAGCATCCTTTCCTTTAGTAACATTGTAACATCTGCAATTCCTCACATGGGCCACATTTTCCACATTTTCTCAATCTGAACCTCTGCCTGAGATGCCTTTCTCCCTATTCTTCTCCGCTTGGCCGACTCTTAGCCCCCTACCCCTGGCCAGACTTAGCTTAAGTATTGTATCCACCTCCACCAAACTAACTTAAATATTTTGTTTTGTTCTTTCTGATCCCTTGTGTATACCTCTGTCATAGCATTTAACTCTTTTAGTTGATTGTGTACTTTTCCACTCACCAGACTGAATTCTTTGTGGGTACATGTTGGTTTTCATTTCTGTATTCCCTATCCTAGCATAGGGCTTACTATATAGTAAGTAAGTATTATATGTTTGCCTATTGAATGGATGAGTGAAAAAGTGAAAAAAAAGCCATTAAATGTTCTAGAAATCTAAGATGGCAATATATCCCACAATCTATCTTAAATTCAAGATATCTTTTGTTTTGTTGTTAACAATAGTCTCTTTTTAAAGGTATTGGTCAATTGGATATTGGTGGCCTAGCCTTGTCTTTAAGTGCACAGCTGCCTTTCCTAGTTTTTGCCTCTCATGAAATGCAGTCCTGCAAAGGAGTAGCTGTTTGCTATTGATCCCATTTGGTTGTTTCTATCACTATTATAATTTTGAGACTTGGACTCATTTGTGTATTTCAGGGCAGGTGACATTACAGAATTAAAAATTCTGGAGATACCAGGTCCTGGAGACAACCAACATTTTGGAGACCTTCATCAGACAGAATTAGGCCCCTCTGGTGTTGGATACCAAATGGGTATCAATCAGAACGGCACGGGCAAGTTGGTGAAGAAGCCAGCCTCTTCCAGCAGTGCCCCTCAGAACATTCCTAAGAGGACAGATGTGAAGAATCAAGATGTTGCCATTTCCCCCCAGCAACAACAGTGCTCAAAGAGCTATGTGGACAGACATGTGGAATCCTTGGGTCAGTCCAAAGGTTTCCGCCGTCGGCACAACTCCTGTAAGTAGGGTCCAGTTGATATTTCTTCTTAAGCTCATTTTTCGGGGCTGTAAGCTCTTATCTACTACTGTTCTTTAAACAGTTCCTTTATTACTCTAATAAAAAAGGATGCTGGCAGAGCTTCACAAAAATATGGCATGGTTCTCTTATTCTAGGGCTAGTCCTTCAAGATGTTAAGGGAAAGGAAATAAGTTATTAGAGGTGCACATGAGCCTCCTGCCCTCCGCCACCACTTCACATCTTTCAGGAAAAGTCTGCACAGTTTGTTGAGACCAATAGTGATGTTTTAAATTCAGTCACTGATGATAGTAGTGATGTCTGAGTTGAACCCGAATTTGGGCTGTTCCGGGAATTCTTGTGTAACTTTCTTCCTTATGATTTGACTCTCCTCCTCAGTTAGAGAGGAGGACACTGGCTTTGTGATCTTTTATTTTCTGACAGACCAACAATTTAAAATTTGCTGTATTTACTGTGCCTACTGGCACAACATATTCACTAGAATAATGTTATAGCTCTGTTGTGTTCCTTAAATGAATACAAATGTTCTTTTAAAAAATTGCTTCTAAATGACAGATTATTGACAAAAATTTTTACTTAGATGGTTTTATATTCAGATAATGGCAGAATATTAGGAATTTTAAGTGAGCATTCATTAAGTCATATTAACTTATCAGCTAGAGTAATGCTATGGCATTACCTTCTAAAAAGCAGCATTTAAAGTGAGCTAGGTCTCTCTAAAACCCACATTCAGGGAGTTTATTACAAAAATTCCAGATACTGATTGCTGCCATTGTTACATCTCAAACTGTAGTCCCGGTGACATTGTAGTGAGGTTTTTGTGTGCCTTGTGAATTCTAGTTTGTGGTGTAACATCTGTGTCAGGCACTAACATTTTAAGGTTTGCAAATGCCTGATTCAAGTGAATAAATAATTGAAATTAAAGGTTTCTTTAAAAACTATTTCAAGGCCATTTTTATCAGTGCATGAGAAGCCACTATCAGAATTGTTGGTGACTAAAAACTTGAGACTGAAATTCAGCTGTTACTTGTTTTGTGTCCTTAGAAAAACTGATAGAATGCTTGAATATAGAAAATGACTCTTTCTGTTTATACTTTAACCTTATCTGTTTTGCTTTATTCTCTTTAAAAAAAGTCATTTTTCTTTGCCAAAAGTTAACTTGTTAGAAGTGCAAATATTTAAGCAGTTTATAATCTTGCGTGCATTTGAAGATGACCCTTATTATCAGTTTATATTTTATTTGTCTTGCATGTTTTTTTACCTATTATTAACATCTTATGTTGTCCTGGTACGTTTGTTATAATTAGTGAATCAACATTGATACGTTGTTATAAAATAAAGTTCATATTTTATTCAGATTGCCATACTCTTTACCTGATGTCCTTGTTCTAGGGTCCATCCAGCATACCATGTTACATTTAGTATCACATCTCTGGTTGGCTCCCACAGTTTCTCAGACTTTCTTTGGTTTTGATGACCTAGATAATTTTGATGGGTACTGTTATTTTATAGAATGCTCCTCAGTTGGTATTGTCTGATATTTTTCTCATGATTAGACTGGGGTCATGTGTTTTTGAAAGGAAGACCACAGAGGTAAAGTATCATTTTTATCACATTGTATCAAAGGTATGTGCCATCACCATGGTTTATTTTTTTATTTTTTGAGATAGTCTCACTGTAGCATGCCCGGCTAATTTTTTCTATATATTTTTAGTTGGCCAATTAATTTCTTTCTATTTATAGTAGAGACGGGGTCTCACTCTTGCTCAGGCTGGTTTCGAACTCTTGACCTTGAGCAATCCACCCGCCTCAGCCTCCCAGAGTGCTAGGATTACAGGCGTGAGCCACCACACCCAGCCTATGTGTGTATACTTAACCAGTATATATACACATATCTGTAAATATTTCTGTATGTAACCATGTATACTGTACTATACTAAATATGAGTTCATACTAATATCTCGAACTTTAATCCATTACCACATGGATCATTTTAGCTTTCTCCTTTTGCTTATCTGTAACCTCCCACTCCAACAGTGAGAAACCTGTCTCCCACCATCTGTCATCCATTTTTTAAAAGTTTTTTTAAGAGACAGGTTCTTGCTCTGTCACCCAGACTGGAGTGCAATGGTACGATCATAGCTCACTTCAGCCTCAGACACCTGTGCTCAAGGGATCCTCCTATCTCAGTCTCCTGAGTAGCTGGGACCACAGGCATATACCACCATGCCTGGCTAATTATTTTATTGTTTATAGAGATGGGGTCTTACTGTGTTGCCCAGGCTGTCTCAAGCAATCATCCTACCTTGGCATCCCAAAGTGCTGGGATTCCAAGTGTGAGCCATCATGCCTGGCCTGTCATCCATTTATATAATTATTCAGTTCCAGTATACATATGTAGTGATATCAGAATTATTTACCTATATCCCCCACCCCCATGGTAGACTATCAAACAGCATACAATGCTTATGCACAGTTCCTTTGGCCTTTCATCTTATAGACTCCATTTCCAGAGTTACTTAGGTCTCCCACCCACTTCAGTGACTTGTTTCATATATTTGTAATACAGTTAAATTGTTTTGCCATATTCTGTATCCATCGTGCAATTCCCCTAACTTCCTAAATGATTTTTTAAAATTCACATACATTAAGGTTCACTCTTTGTGCTGTTAAGTTCAGTGAGTTTTGACAAATATGTAGTGTCATGTATCTGTCATTACAATATTATTCAGAACAGTTTCACTGTCCCAAATATCTTCTGTGCTTTACCTGTTCAACTCTCTCTCTCTCTGTCCCGGCCCGCGGGACCTTCTGTTACTCGCGGGGGCGAGGGGGACCGTGCCTGAAAGAGATGGGCGAGAGAAAGAAACGAGACCAAGCAAATGGTTGTCAAGGTCTACTTTACTTGGATTTTTAGTAGGTTTTATAAGCATACAGAAACAAGGAAGTAGAAACAAAAAAATAGAGTGGCGACGATGAGGCTTGGGTCTGGGTTAATCAGCCCCAATCATCGTCTTATCGGTATCCTGTTTTTGACTGGTTACTCATCTCCAACCTGGCAGGTGGTCGGGAACAATTGCAGTTAGCACTCCTTGGAGCATCCCGTGGTCAGCACGTCATGGACTGCATTCTTCTCGGAGCTATAGCTGGAATTTTCCAGGGCGAAGTCCGTGCGTAGGACGAGTCATAGGGGAGTTGAGGGTCTTTGAGGGTCCTTGCCTCTAACATCTCTCTCCTCGAGGACTCCCTACTCCCTCCTGGCAACTGCTGATCTTTTAATCATCTGTGTAGTTTTGCCCTTTCCTGAATGTCACATAATTAAAATCATACTATAGTATATATCCTTTTCAGACTGACTTCTTTCACTTAGATATATACGCTTAAGATTCTTTCATGTCTTTTGTGGCTTCATAGCTCCTTTCTTTTTATTGTTGGATAGTATTCCATTGTATGAGTGTATCAGTTTGTTTATTTATCTATTAAAGGATATCTTAGTTGCTTCTAGCTTTTGGTGATTATGAATAAAGCTGCTATAAACATTTGTGTGCAGGTTTTTGTGTAACATAATTTTCAGATCAGTTGTGAAAGTACCAAGGAGAGCAATTGCTGGATGTTTTGGTAAGACTATTAGTTTGTTTCTGTTTTTTTGTTCTCATTAACCAGTTATAGTAACTCTTTTGAAAGAAGGCAGGTAACTTCAAAATGAGTAATTTATTATACTTGACCTTTAACAAGTCATTCTGATATGTTAAAAAGTGGGTTTATTCTCATTCTGCAAAATACACCCTATGTGGTACTTACTCTGCTTTTGCTGTTTGGTCAATTTCCGTTTCCTAGATTGTTAACTGTACATAAATAAGGTAAAGGGATCATGGGGTAGTAAAATGTTATTCTCTTTTAGGGAATTTCTTTTGATTCCATGTCATTGTGGAAAATGTCTGTGACCTGGGAATTTGATGATGAGATGTGGCTTAGAATTGGTTTCTGATAGATGGTAGAATTACATTCATTTATCTGCTCAATGAGTCCTGTAAGATAAGTAGAAAGGTCTGCCTTAGAATTTTCTCTGATACATACACATTAATGTTAAGACTGGTAGATAGAGGGAACTGTAGGAATATAATCTCTTTTCAGTTCTGGCTGTTCAGTGTCCTTTCAAGATTGGCAGTGAGGAGTTGAGGGATTTGTTGGTTCTAGTTATTTAATCCAACATTGATGAGAGATTTAGCTCAAGCAGATTTTAATCTCTTCACTTGGCTTGGAGGTGGGAGTGGGTTTAAAGTATAGTTTGTATTACTACTCATTTGTCAAGTAGATGAATGGAACATCAGTCCCCGGGAGCAGATGGAAAGCAATTAAGTCTTGTTAAGAATACAGGTCTTTGTTTGGGTACAATTCATATTGGTGAAATCTCATGTCAGAGCTAAAAATGGTGACCATGAGGGGCAGATGAAATCTACCCTTCTCTGAAATTTCAGTGTATAAACTTGAGTGTAATCACTGGCTACAAGGAGTTAAATAAAAATTTAATGTTGAGTTAAGGCTCTTTTGCCTATAGATCATGAAAGTATATAGCTGGCCTTTAGCTCATTTATATATAGGTAGTGGTGGTCTCATAGGCAAGACATTGCTTCTGGTAGGTACTGATTTTCCTTTGTTTCTAGAGGTGGAGAGAAATGAGGAAGTGGAATTGAACTTTTTTAATTGAAAAATGTTGGGTATTATCTTGTTACAGTATGGTTGGGCTTTAATAGTCCAGTGTAACAATGATCCTACCATCTGAGGTCAAAAGTTATTTATTTATTTAGAGACAGAGTCTTGCTCTATTGCCTGGGCTAGAGTGCTGTGGCGTCAGCCTAGCTCACAGCAACCTCAAACTCCTGGGCTCAAGCAATCCTACTGCCTCAGCCTCCCAAGTAGCTGGGACTACAGACGTGTGCCACCATGCCTCGCTAATTTTTTCTCTTTTTTAAAATTTTTTT